GAATGACCAAAATCGGGTTAAAAATGAAAGAAATATAGCCATCTGAAGATGGGGGATGAAATGCATAAGTAAAGTGCTCAGTACTCGGTGCTCGAGTACTAGAAGGTAGTGCTCAAGCTCAAGGTCAGATACGGTGATTTTTCTCTCAAAAAAAGTTGTGCTCAAGCTCCAGAAGTCTGTGCTCAATCACTAAGGGTGGTACTCGAGCTCAAAGCCCTTGAAAGTGCTAAAAACTCCAGAAAATGATGCTTAAGGTCCCGGGTACGTTCTTGGTGCCTTACAAGGTCCTAAGCATAACCAAAACCCAACATCATATATCAAGTGTGCACGGATAAATAGTTATACAAGTGTGCAATATAAGAACGAAATACACATTGAAATGAAAACGGCTCATTGGCCTCATTACATCATTACCATGATATCAATTATAATCAAGCTACAGTAAAAATGACTCAGGAACTCCAAAAGATGCAAATGAGTTCCCGGTCCATTTCTATCTTCAAAAGAGTACTACATACATCCAAAATAAGTACGTTTAAAACATGCTTAACACATACCATGTTTATATTATCCAAAATGAGTCACAAAATGAAAAGTAAAGCATATTCGAGTTAAGACAGAGGTGTATCCAAATAGAGCACGTCCTTACCTGAAAAATGTTAATCAACGGGTGTAAGTAATTTAAATTACTCTGTAGAAAGTGCATATGGAATTAAACTAGGTTTTATTGGTCTCGCAAATGTAGCACATGGTATACAAGTATGGTGTAATTCTCCTAACGTCTAATTCAAGGGTAATTCTAAAGGATTATCTTAGAACTAGCAATTGAATTGAAAATAACAAATCCATTCAAGTATATACGAATACAAGAAAATACAACGAAACCAAAATGCACCAAGTTACAACTACACATGGATGTCAACTTGAAAAATAAGATCCAAAATCACATAACAGGGATAACTTGGACTCACACACATCCTCGGTCATACTTACTGCCTTAACCGGTAAAATAGTTATTCTCGGTCTACTAAACCGCAAGGAACAAACCTAATAGCCATTATAAAGTTGAGAAAACCCTGATTTCACCCGCTAGTGCCAAGCCCTAACATTTTTAAAGTAACCAATGTCTTAAGTATCTCCTAAAATCATCGACCAAACCATAATACGATTGTATATCCAATGCTCACATATAACATTTCTCATGCGCACATAAGCGACGAAAATCAAGCATACCATCCCCAATAGTCCCAAGTTACTACCATGGCATACTTGTCAATGTAAAGACATAAACATAACAATATGGAATCATAGCTAGTTCAAACTACTCATGTAAGATTTTTTTTGAAATGAAAGATTATACAATATGAAAAAGAACGTATAACCATGCTAACTTAAACACGAATCAACAATACCCTAAATATAGCAATAAAACAAACATCTTATGAATTAGTCCCTACACAAGGATATTTCAAGAAGATACAAGCATGGTCATTAAAGCTACATCAAATATCAACAACTATGAATCTAATGCGCACTTTAAATATGGAATTCAATAAGATTAAACAATGAACCATTATTATAAACCTAGGTTATCAACATATACATATGCAAATTACTCACAACTCACTTATGACATGCATAACATACACCACACCTCAAAACACAAGGAAAATATTAGGTTAAAGCCATACTACATCCCTACCTCACCAAGGAAAGCAAACCCTAGAATCCAAGGTGAAAAATGCTTCGATCCCAAAGATGATGGAAGGGTTATGATGGCATTGGTGTCCCCAAGCTTTTTCCCTTCTATGGTTAGTTAAGAAGGTGAATGGAAGGCAATGGAAATAAAGCTCTAAGTTTGTGTAACAATGGTGGAAGCTTTGGTTAGAGGAAGAAGATGAAGTTTATGAGAAAAGAAAGGGTATGATATTTGTGATATAATATCATCACACACACACACACACTAGCACCACCTCTCAAACACACACCCAAATCCGCGCCACCCTCCACTTGTCATCCATCTAGCCCTCCACATGCCACTCATCCTTACTTACACTTGTCACCAATCCAACTCCTACACATGTCACATAACTTTCACGAATTTCACAAAAGTCCCTACATGAAAATATCTCAAAAGATAATCATACAAACGCCCCAAATAAAAATATCTCCAAAGATAATCACATAAGTACCCCAAATAAAAATAATATTATCGTATACAAGTATAAAATAAATCCCATAATGTCATGAAGATAAAGTATGCTCCGATGGAATGAATGAAATGTCGGGAACTATTCCCAAGCACTTGACTTGGCATTGGGCCTACATGATCGGAAACCCGAAAAATGAAAAATGAAAAATAGAAAAAATGAAAAGAAGAAACCGGTCCTTACATATATGTTGCCCAAGTATAGACTCTAGAGGGGGGGGAGGGGGGGGGGTGAATATGGTCTAAGCAAAATAAGGTCAATTTTTCAATATTGATTTATCAACTAAAGTTAAACTTAACTTCTTTGGCAAATATTGAATGATGCAAACTGAATTTAAGCATTAATTGTCAATATTTATAAAGAGGCATATCAAGACATATATGAAGCAATAAATATGAGAGATAAAGATAGAAGTTGCAAACATGTACTCAGCGATTTTAGCGATGTTCGAAAACTCCTACTCCTCGGCTCAAGACCCCTCTTGAGACTTCCCAATTCACTAAGGCTTCTCCTTGCGGTTGGAGAGCAAATCTTTTACAAGAAGCACTTTCTAGCTTCTAAGTGCTAAGAGATACACCTTTTCTTAGTCTTCCTTGAGCCACACCAGCTCTTACAAGTTTTTGAAATATATAGATGAAGTACAAGATGATCTCTCTTTCAGATCTGAAGTACAAGATATAGCTCACTCTAGAGTATGTATAAATAACTTGAAGCTCAACTCTCTTTTATGATATATGATGTGTATAAAATGATGATAAAAAGCTTTAATTGCTAGTAGATCTTTTGCAATAAATTCTCTTACCTTTTATGAAGTTATTCAGTCATTATATACACTTTCAGATGATGTCTGATACTTTTCTAGCTGTTGGACACACACCCCAAGACAGAAATGCCAATTAGAATTTTGAAATGCGCAGCTTCGGTCGACCGAAGTGAAACTCCCTTGAGTTTCGGTCATCCGAAATGGTTTTCTGTTTGGACACCCTTCTCGGTACTTTAGCTTCGGTAGACCGAAGAGGAACCATGTTTATTTCGGTCGACCGAAATAGTTTTAAGATTGAACTTCACCCTCTCGGTATATCTATTTCGGTAGACCGAAGTGAACTCTTAGTTATTTCGGTCGACCGAAATAACTATTAGTTGGATCTGTATATTCATTTCCGTAGACCGAAATGAAATGATGATTTATTTCGGTAGACCGAAATAACTTGAAGCTTTGATCCTAACTCTTGGTTCATTTCGGTAGACTGATATACAAAAGCTTCTTATTTCGGTAGACTAAAATGGATTCACATTTTCAGATAAGGATATGCTTAGGTCCTTTGTTCCTTAGTCATGGTGATTGAGATGATATGCATAATGTTGGAGAGTTTGAATTTCAAGATATTCATATACACTTTAACAAAGCTTCCTAAGAAACTTACCAACCTAGCTAACCCCATTTTGATATCATTTGATGACTTGACTTTGACTTTTGATTGCTTGGTCCTTTGCTCGTGCCTTGGTGTTGCTTCTTTAGATTTGTTCTTGTATTGTAGTACTTGTTTTGATAAATGCTTTGCTCTGTAATTTCACTCAAGAAGACATTAGTAATCATAAAACATCATTAATGAATTATAATCATCAAAAACCTTTGATTCGGTCAACAATATATGTCAACAATATATAATAATATTCATTACTAGTTTTTTCAAGTTTCGTTAATAGATTTCTGTCAAGTACTAATCAGTAAATACCAAATATATTTATAAGTAATCAAAATTAAAACTTTTCAAATTCTATAAATATAATTTTTAAATAACTTAAAATTTGTAAATGATAAATTCTAACAACAGGTCTTATCTACTCCCTCATTTCCTTATTAATAGTTAATTTTTCAGTATTACAACCTTTTAAGAAGAAATACAAATAATGCATTATCTATTTTGAAAAATTACCAAGCTGTCATTCTAAAGTTTACATCTTATTTTATCAAGTTGCAATTTTTTTGAAAATTACTTTTCAAATTGTATAAGAATTTTGGACAACCTAAAAGAAAAGACAAACCATTAATATGGAACAAAGGAAGTATTTTTTAATGAAAAGTAGCATTTTTGAGATAATAGGTGTCTGTGAAGTACGGAATCGATAAAGGATAGTGCTATTTGATAAAACTGAAAATGAAGTACGAAAATTTTAAGGATTGAATTTAAGTGCTGAAGTTTTCAAGTAGTAATTTAAAAATAAATATTTTTTGATATTTTTTTGAATTTTTAGTGTTCAGGGTTCAACATTAAGTGCTAAGTGATGTGCCCGCCATTTATAATTTTACTCCCATTTTAAGTGGCGTTTACTGTTCCAGTGATATTCAAATTGCGTTATTAAACACATTTAATTTAACAAGCACTTAATCCATTCAAAATTAAGCGCTTAATTGAATAATCAAACAACACTTAAACTCTACGAATACATTATACCAAATTTCTAAGAATTAAAAAGGTTTAGGTAGTGTTTTATATTTCCCTTTTTTTTTTTTTTTCGGATGAATGTTTTATGTTTCCCTTTGCTTATTGTTAAAACACTAAAAGACACAAATAGACCAGTTAAATATATTTAATAACTTTATTTAATTTTAAATTCTAGCAATCAACTAAATGGTATACAACTAAAAAGTTTGCATATAATTTTAAATTAACTAAAAAATTGAGAGGAATACTTTCAAAGGTCTTCTTTCTTACCAGGCTTATTTCAGAATTAAAATTGTCAAACGAAAAAATGATAAGCCTTTATATACGCCCAAAGGCCTCACCTTTTTATAAGTCGTACAACACCCCCACACAAGAATTATACCAACCCTTGCTCAAGTTTAGTTTATTGGCAAACACACCCAAACGTTGTCGCACTGTTGAAACGCTCATTGCTCAATCACTTCCTCGACCGAATCGGCACATAAACCGATGACCGAATCGGATTCAGTACCCAATCTCTCTCGCTCAATCGCTTCGACGACCGGATTTTTTGAGCTCACAACTGTCTATCAGCTACTTCTTCATCAGTGATCATCACCATAGACTTCCCAAGTTTCAGGTTGTCTAAAATGATTTGAATAACACTTCAAAGTGTACCAATTTTTTTCATCGATTCCCAAAACCATCTCTGATTTTTGACCTTTTTGGAGTGAGAGAGACGACGATCCACGGATCGTATTCTCAATGTTTGCGACTGTATGTGGTATAGAAATAGAGGAGATGAACACGGCGACGAGATCATGAATCAAAGACAAACCCGAGAGACTTCGCACAAAGGTAGGCATCGGCACTGCCTTCTTATTTTCTGCATTCCAATTATTCAATCGATAGAAAGCTGCAAAAAAGGGTTTTTCGGTTCTGTGATTTAGATGTTCTTAAATTTGTAATTCGAATGTAGGGGTGGGCTTTGAGACCATTTTAAAATCTTTATAATTTATAGGGCCATGGATGATGGGTCACCAAAAAACACAAAATATTTTTAGGGCAAATCATTTCAGCCTCCCCAGTTGCCTCCATCCCTATTCTCGTTCTCGACCCTGAACTTGCCCTCTCTGTCTCTCTCTGCAACTGCAAACTACAAAATCTACAAGAATCAGAGGTTCAAAACCCATATATTTCAGTTTATCTATCTGTCTGCAAGAATCAAAAGTTCAAAACCCATATCGGCATATCATTTCAGATTGTTCAAAAAATCAAAACCCATATCTTTCAGTTTCCATCGCCCGCTGTTCCAGTTCGGGTTTGCCGTTTGCAAGCTTCAGCCGCTGGCCCGCTGTCTCTCAACTCTCAAGCTTGCCCCCTCTCTCTCTGCAACTGCTTACTTGTATGTATGGGTTTTGTTTTAATTTTTTTTTTCTTTCTAAATCAACTAATCAGGGTCTGTAATTCTTGTTTTGCAAACTAAATCCTATTAGGTGAAATTTTTAATGATCTTTTTTAAATATATATATTTTTTACAATATAAAGTAACAAAATTTGCATTGCATATTTTGAGTTAATCACCGTAATCTACATTTTATTTCAGCAAAACAAATATTTTTTTTAATTTGTATAACTTCCATTTTTTTTTTTGTTGTTGTCAATTATGTGAATCTGGGCATGAAAAAAGAAAAAAAAAAAAAAAAAAAAAAAAAAAAGAATCTGAATTGGATTGAATTGGATTAGAAATCTGCAGAGATTGAATCTGAAACAATTTTTATCAACATGCCAAGCTTTTTGAAGATGGAAATCTTTTAAGAACTAAAAAAAAAAAATCATAACAAGAACTTTGACAAGCAAAAGTACTTAATATAGGGTAAAGCTCTAAAGTTACTTCTTGAAAATTAAAATACTTACAAAAAGCACGCTTTTGAGTGAATTCCATAGTGTTGGAAGGGGCTTGCCATGAACTACCTCTCACTCTGCTTCCACTAGTAGATTCTCAAATAGGTTTAGTAAATTAGTCAAAAGAAGAGATAGGGTAGTGAGTGGTGAATTTAGCCCACCCCATTTAGAAATCCTGGATGTTTTGTTTCACATAGAAATCCAATCTGTGTAATGCATGAAGGATGTATTCAATCTTTCTGTCATATTTTTATTTTCAAATTTTGGTTTTTGATTTTCTTTTGTTATTAGAATGCAGAATATCAGGATTTTGATTTATTAATTTAGAAAATTATTCCTAAACTGATGCATTGTATTTTGTTATTGGATTAATTTAACATAAAAGCTAAGTATAATATGTGTGCTAATCACACCTCTCCGTAATCACACCTCTTTCTACGGATATGTGTCCAACATTTTGACTGAAAGCATAGTTGGGTTGGGTTGATACATGATACAGATAGTACTTAGATGGTGGTGTTTTCATTATTATGAGTGAGATTATGAAACTTCTTCCTCACAACTTGAGTGTTTTCTTATTTTTAGGGTTAGCATCGGGCCTTAACATTTAGCAAGAACAAGGTTCAAGAAACATGCCTTCTCAGTCATCAGGTAACAAACTCTTAATTTTTCTAAAATTTTAATTGGCATTTTTAGTTATTGGTTACGTTTATTTATTCATGTTTTACATACTGATTTTTTGTTTATGTTTTTGTTTCTACATACATATATATAATATTATTATGATGTGATGTTCGAACAATTTATTAATGGGAATTAAAGACTTGGAAGTTTAGTTTTCAATTTTAGAATATATGTTTTACAAGTTTATTAATGCTTTTAAAACTTTTCGTCTTTTGTCCTAATAATTAGGTCTCTTTTTTTGAAAGAAGAGAGTTGATTGGAATGGGTGGAGTAGGGAAAAAGAAAATAGGTATGCTTTTTTTGCCTAGCTAATTGAATTATATAAATCCCCTTACAGTTGTAGCAATGATGTTGGTTTTAAAATGACCAATTATGATAGGAAGTCTCTTTTCAGTTTAATTTAATCAAATGTATATCTATACAAGAGGATTACGTGATTCTAGATGACGATTCTAGATGAGGATGTTAATGTCAACGTTATGAGGATGTTGATGTCAACGTTGACTCTAGTGATGACGACTGACGATGTTGATAATATGTTGATGCACTCAAATTAAGTCAAAGCACTTAGAATTGAAGGAAATTTAGAGTTGAAGACATACTATTGAGCATATTGTTTAATTCTTTTAGTTACAAGAATCTTTGGTCACTTCACACACGATTTTTCAGTTCCTGAAATTCTGAAACAATGGTGTGTAATATGATTCATCTACTTAGGCTCTCTTCTTTTTCATCTCTCTAAACCCTAATTTTATTTGTGAAAAAAAAGAAGAAGACTCTATGCAATTTTAATTTAACTTTATCAGTTTGAGCATTGACAGAGCTTCTGAAATGTTGAAACTAAAACAACAAAGAAGAGAGAGTCCACCAATAAGAATTACCCAACTTAGTACAAAATAAGCTCTCTGAGCGTCTTGACTAATATTGGCATGGGAGACTTCTATAGATATGGACTTGTAGAGAGAAGATATATGGTTGGGGGCACAAAAGTGTACAACAACTGTAAACCAACGATAGGGTTGTGAGCTTTTGGCTCATGCATCGGATCTAGGAAGTGTACAACAATGAAATTGAAAGCTTTGATGCACTCAAAGTTACAGACAGAGACAATAATTAATATTATATATTTATAACTTACTTTACTAATCTATTATGATACTACGTATATCATACATATATGCATATATATATGTTTGTAACTTTATACTTGGACTTAGATTTATTTTGAGTTAGCCCGCCCTATTGAGAAATCCTGGATCTGCCCTTGGTCATGAATTATGGTGGTTTTTAGATCTTGTTAAACAAGTCCGTCCGACCACTGTTTGATTAAATGCCTCAGCTAAACTACCATTTTTAAGTATGTCAGCCAAGCACCCAGAAAAGGGAGAAGCACTACTATGTTGACATTAACGTAAGCCTTAACAAAAGGGTGTAATTCAATCATGGGTGGTGCAAACTTTCCACAACAGCTCGAATTCTCAACCGCCCTTTGGGGAGGAGTGATTATACCATCTGGGCTAGTTGCCCGGTAGGTGTGGATTATGCAAAACTTTTTTTGTATTTGGTATTTAGTTCACTAGAGTCATCTAGATGATGTTCTTTTTAACTTTTAAACAATTCATGACGCTGTGCTTTGTCTCAGTGATGGCCAACATCTCTACATATATTTACATCTATGTGTTTGCTTCTAGTGAAGGAGAAACTGCTTTTGGCTTTACTTCGTGGAGTAATGAAATTGGAGCATTTTGATTCTTTTGATAAACATGGTATCATTGGAAATCATTTTTTCCCCCTCCTTTAGGTGTTGATGTGTATGGTGGAACTCTGGTTGTCAATCCGACCTATTGTGGTCTATTGGAATGGATCATATTGTTTTATCTGTTTTCAGTTCTGACCAAAGCAAAAAACGATAGTTCCGTTTCTCTTTTTCAATTTATTGTGATACTTAATGAAACTGGCCACCCCTCCTCCTATCTGCAATCTATGATTGTGCTGCTGTGTCGTAGATGAACTTTTTCACTATTAATGTCATCAGTCCCTATGTCAGTTAGAGAAGTTGAATATCAAATAATGCGACATAGAAAGCAAAGATTCGAATAGGGGGAGCTGACTGTGGACAAATTAGTTTTATTGTCAATTAATTCCTTATACCATGAAGTCTGGATGGAAGTTTGTAACATAAAATTTAATCCAATAATCAGTTGAAAAGTTTGATGGGCTTTAGCTGTATTTTCTTGGTGCTGGTTTTGAGAAAGGAAAACAAGGTTTGACATGTATGGATTTATAGTCATTTTTAATTTATTTACATTAATTGTTTATATAGTTCTAGTAATTTCTTTTATTTGTTTCTTTTTTTTCCTTCAAGATGTCCTAAAGCCATTTTGTGTCAACACTAATACCCAAAGATGCACGTAGTCACCCACAAATGATGTTCTTCAGGTGATTTGGTTGGAATCAAACTCTGACATCTGGTTCCTGAGCCATTGTCAGGTAAATCCTTCTGCTGTCAGTTGATACTTTTATCAAATGTTAATTTGATGTGCTTTACATAGTTTATATTTTAGGGGAATATGTTCATACCATTGTTTCCTTACAATATGATATCGTGTATTTGACTTGATATCTGGCCATTGTGGTGCTGAATCAAAATTGAGCTAGAATAATGGATGAGTCAGGCTAATCTTTTGAATGATTAAGTACTCATTTTAGTATTTTGATTCAATATAAATTTAATATGGAACTTCTTCCCATTTCCTCTGAACCAGCATGGTATCCAAGATGCAAATAGAACTTAAGTGTATGTGTTTTTGATTTCCTTGCAGCAATGGCATCTATGAATTTTCGTTCCCTACTTATGTTCTCAGCAGCTCTTCGCCTCTTTTTAATTCTTTATGGTGAGTGGCAAGACACTCATATGGAGGTCAGATATACAGATGTTGATTACCTTGTCTTTTCTGATGCTGCTTCTTTAATGGCCTCTGGAACGTCCCCATACAAACGATCTACATATCGGTACTCACCTTTGATTGCATTTCTTCTTATGCCAAATTCAATAATCCATCGCTCATGGGGGAAATTTCTCTTCTCGGCTTCAGGTATCGTCTCTCTCTCTATTTCTCTATCTCTCTCTCTCAGAAAATTAGTGGTTATACCATGTTCTCTCTGCAGATTTACTTGTGGGGTTGTTTATCCACACTATTCTGAAGCTACGAGGGGTGCCTGAGAATCTATGCACCTATTCTGTGTTGGTGTGGCTCCTGAATCCATTTACCTTCACAATTGGAACCCGGGGGAACTGTGAGCCCATTGTTTGTGCCATGATTTTGTGGATCATTATCTGTCTCATGAAAGGTATAACTTCTACTTCTTTGTCTCATGAAAGGTATAACTTTTACCTCTTTGTACCAACTTTTTGAAGTACTACTGCAGTGCAGTGGCTTCTTGAGGTGCTAGTTTGTTATCACTCAGGATTGATGCCCTAGCATTGATTTGTAGCCGTCGAACTTTTAACAACCAAAATTAGAGCCAAAAGAAAAAACAGAAGGAATATATATATTTGGAGAGGATCCTTTCAAAGAGTCTTTGGTGGGAAAATGATTTTTAAATGGAAAATCTTGTTCAGATGCTTAAACATCTTTAAGGTGGAGGAGTTCTTTCTGGTCCATAAATATTTGTATTTAAAAATCCAATTGTTTGAAATAGTGAAATGTAGCCTTTTGAAGTACACATGCTCACAGTGCACTTGGAAGGGAGAGTTGGTGTGGAAGCACTATTTTGTTCAATAGTGTTTGCAATGGTTAATCTTGTTGAAGTTACTGGGGAAAAAAAAAATGAATCTGAAAATAATGTAAGAGACTCTCCTTTACTGACTTCTCCTTTGTATTACTGGAAAAAGGAAAGTAGGTTTTAGGTTCAAGTTCTTGGCACTCTTTGGTTAATGCACCAAATACAGATTTCTCTGTGTCATTATATATACATAATTATAATCCCTAACTTTCTTTATATCATAATTTCTGGTTTACAGGTAATATTTTCCAAGCTGCATTTTGGTATGGACTTGTTGTCCATTTGAGAATCTATCCTATAATCTATGCACTTCCTATCATCTTAGTTCTTGATCCTCACTTCCAATCTGTTCAGAAGCCTGCCCTTGTGAAATGGAGTTCTAGTAAAGAAAGGTCAGCTCAGAGTCTAAGTAGCATTGGAGTTACTGATCCATGCCATTTATGGGTTGCATTGATAAACATGTTTTCTAGAGAGAGAATTATGTTTGGGCTTATCTCTGGGTCTGTCTTCTTCTTTTGTACTTGGTTTTCCTTCTATCTATATGGTTGGGAGTTCTTGCATGAGGCGCTGCTGTACCATCTTACGCGTACAGATCCAAGACACAATTTTTCCATATATTTTTATCACATCTATCTACGCTACAACCATGAGTTTTCAATCTTAGAAAAACTCATCTCTTTTCTGCCCCAAACTATTGTGCAGCTAGTTCTCATTTTCCGCTTCGCGCAGGATTTGCCGTTCTGTTTCTTTCTGCAGACAGTAGCATTTGTAGCATTTAATAAGGTTAGTGAATTTGATATAGTGCCTTGTACTGTCACTAAAATTGAAATATATTTTTAAATTAAATTCTGGAGCTCTAATGAATCTTACTGTTTGTCTTTCTTTTATACTTCTAATTGAGTATCAAATCAGACCATCGAGTCTTATAAGAGAACAATACTCTATCTGCCTCCAGAATTAATTTTACTTCTAAAAACATGTTTTCATACTTCTAAAATAGAAGTTCTGCATACAGATATTTGGTTTTCTTACGTACTGTTGGTTTTCAAATTTGTCAGGTCATAACAGCACAGTACTTTGTGTGGTTCTTCTGCCTGTTGCCTCTAATACTGCCATGGTGCAATATTAAAATTAAATGGGAAGGGTTGTCCTACATTTTATTATGGATGGGAGCTCAAACTCATTGGTTGATGTGGGGTTATCTGCTTGAATTTAAAGGCAAGCAAGTCTTTCTTCAGCTCTGGGCGGCAGGCTTAATGTTTTTAGCTGCTAATACTTTTGTCCTCATCGGTATTATCCGTCACCACAGATATGTCCCGTTATTCGATCGACATGCAAGTTCGAAGAAAACAATGAAACATGAATGAGGGAATGGGCCCCAATCACCACGCTGAAATCTTTTATTTTTTTCGTAACTTTCTCCCCAGAACGCAGCTCCCTTCCCTGCAAAACCCGGACCCCTAGCTGGAGCCAAACCTTGCCCAACCTCTCTATTGGGATAGGTAGGAGACGCCATGTTTGTTGAAATCTGAATGTAGTTCCGGTGGTTTTCGCTTTGCCATTTGTCGAGTGGTTCTGCATTTTGAAGTAAATTGAACTTGTTTATGGCTTTTCTCAAGTTTGGCTATGCCAGTAAGCTGTCAGGCAGAAATCACTTGATTTATAGTAGAAATCTGATTGAATTTATTGGTTTCCAGTTTCTCTCCATTGGGATGCAGATCACCAAAATTTTGCCCATGTCAATATAAATTCTGGAATTTAAGAATTGTGTGATGGTACCATCTTTGTTCAACAAGCTTATGATGAATTGTTTGATCAGATGGCCTGTGACTTTATCATGTGATGCATGCTCATTCTTCTTCTTCTTCTTCTTTTTGATTTTTGATTTTTTATTATTTTGATTTTTTTATTATATAATATACACACGAACTACGAAATAACCAACTGTTGCAGAAATGGTTATTCAACCAGTTCAAAAGACAAACTTATATTAAGAGAAAATATTCTACTGTTGCAACACTGGCCAATTCAAAAAACAAATGTGTTTTAGGATTGTTTTAAGAGAAAAGGTTCTATAGTTTGTTATATTAGATAAATTTCCTCTCTTTTAATTTAATTCTATTTAATAGGTTTATTTGTGATTTTTTTTTGTTCTCTTATTTTGTGTACTTCCAATAACTCTGTTTTACGAAGGTGAGATGAAAGAATTCCACAGAAAAGCGATAAGCTGCAAAGAAAAATGTAAAAGCTTTCTCCCTAAAAGTAAAATTAAGAATTGTTTTGTGGTGGTATCTCTCATGAGTAGGTTCTCAAATCTGAATCTGAATGACATTAATTGTCTTATGACTTGTTTGACATAGTTTTTGCTTCTATTTATGAAGAAATAGAAAAGTAGAAGTTATTACTTCTATTAAATTTATTTGTTAGTGTTTGGAAACTGTATTTTAGAAGAGTTTTTAATGCCACAAGAATTTTTCAATCTGTTTGGCAAAACATTTATTAGAGCTCTTCTACTACTTAGCCTATTTTTTCATAACTCATTTTTTAAACAGGTACAAATAAACCACTCAATATAATCAAATTTATCCACAATATGCCATATACAACATAATAATTAATAATACTAATAATAACAATAAAAATAAAATTTAAGAGATTGCAAAACAACTATTTAATGGTTTAGAAAATTTTTTAATTGAACATTTTGATTCTACCATAATATAACAGCAAGAATAATAAAATATTGAAGGTTTCTTCTAAGAATCCCGTAAATGAATTTTTTTTCTTTTAACATTGTTAATGTCTATAAAATGAGGTAAACAACATATATAATTAAGTTTCCTTATAATAGCAAACTTAATTATATACTAAGGAAACTTAATTATATTATAAGGAAATGAATGAAAAAGAAGAAAGAAAAATATTGCAATGTGGAATAGCTATGCCGGCGATTGTTCGTTGAAATAAAGAAACGTTGGGTGCCTATGAAAATATTTAGAGCAAACCAAGAAAAAAGAATGAACATGAAGAAATAGGTAGAGAACAACAATAATCTTCTTCAAATATTTTCTCCGGTTGAATGCTTGTTGGATTGCTGCTAATTTTTCATAAGTCTTCTTCCGATCGAGTATGAAGGGATATATTGCCAGAGAACAGCGAGGTGAGTTTTTTAGACACTAGGGTTTGAAAATAAAATTAAGGGGTCTTTTATAGGGATACGGTTGGAATTATATCTTTTTTATGAGATAATATAAATGGTACGGTTGTTAGTTAAAAAGTTTCATTAAGGCACCAAAAACTTTTCCAGTGTATTTTAGAAGATCGTTTTGAAAAAATTAGGGGTACCAGATTTTCCAAAATGCTCTTCCAAGACTCAAAAGCTCTCGTTAGAAACTAGTCATACACTATCCAAAATAACTTCTAAGCCCAAAAACCAAAAACAACGTTTGAAAAACCACTCTAAACAGTAGGCTACAAAATATGGATTACTCATAACTCTTGTTATCAAGAACTTTCTTTACTTATGTAAAATAAACTCAAAAGGCATAGGTAAATTCAAGAAGGTAGAGATAACTACTACTCCCTTATCCAATAACTTTCCAATTCGTGATGGGTAAGAAAATAGAGTCGATTTCATAACCATTAATACTTCTGTAAATGAAGTAATTGTTGAGACGCCAAAAATAAAATACAGAGCCTTGCTTTGACTTTTAATGGCTGATATTATTTAGTGCAATCACGTCGTCTGCTAAAGGCACGATCTGTGAGTAATATAGATACAATCCTCTTTCTTACTAATAATTATATTCAAGGTCTTATGGGTTAAATTTGAAGACATATCTAACAGCTTCCAATTGAGTGCTCAACCATCTATGAGATCCTTTGGAGAGAGAGTGTGATTGTCAATAGAAAAAGTGATAACATATATAGGTATGTAGGGTCTGCTAGCTCTATGGCAGAGATCAATTAAAATCTTTATATATATATATATATATATATATATATATTCTCTTCTTTGACCAAACCATTACATATCCATGTACAATAAGCATAATGGTTATCAGACCCTCATGGATACAGTGAGTCATTGAAGAGGGTGACTTGGGTTTAAGCTTTGAACCCGTTACAACTAAAAACGGGTATCCAGAAGCTCTAACACCGTATAAATCGGTGAAACGCACAGAACTACACTCTTGAGACCTGGAAGCGACTAATCAACCGGAGAGCTTCAACGACCAACAAAATTCAAATTGGAAATTCAAATTGGTTTCCTTGAATGGGCTGGCCAGAGCCAATTTATTACGGTAATGCCATATACTTCCTGATGTAGGCAAGGCTTGGTAACAGTTCTTTCTCCTCTTTTATTGGTCTATTATTCCCTTTAATTTTAATTGTCTACTTTAATCAGTGCATCAGCTGTATTGAAGTTTTCCTTGTTTTCTAGTGAACTTTTTCTTTTTCTTTTCTTTTTTTTTTTTTATTATTTATTTCAAGAAAAATATTCCTTTATATGTAAATCATCATTCAAAATCACAAGTAGCAAATTAGACTAGAATGAAAAATAAACTAGACTAGGAGCTCTAGAATCATCCCTCACTGTGGAAAACCTTAAATTGATGCAATAACATTGTAAATGAGGGAAAATAAGATCTCTTGATTTTTTGGTCAGTACCTTTCGTATCCACTCTTCATAGCAGTCAAAAAAAAAAAAAAAAAAAAAAAAAATCAAATTCATTGATATTTCTTTCTATTTTCCTTATTTCCAAGAACCAACCAGAGTCATACACAGATTCTTGCTTGACTTTATATCAAGTTTAATGAACTACCATTCATCTTTTAGATGCATAAACCAATAAATTGAATCCTTATTTTGAGATGATTCCTTTCCTAGTTGCACTTGGTACACCTTTCTAAATGTATTAAATAGAATGGCAATTGAAAATACCTTCAGAGGTGGAATGCATAAAAGGGGTCTTGAAAAGTAGAGTCCTTGGTAGTGGAAGTTGTAGCACCTTTTAACAAGCTCCAAGTGAACATCCATATCACACCACCCAACTACTGTATAGTTTCTTGAGATGGAGTTCTATGCATTATGTGTATATCGAAATATATGTATACACAGTTCACATGATTTTATGAGAATTAAACAAACTTTTATGTCAGAGTCTTATTTCAATTGACTGTGCTAATGTGACTACTCTGGTACAACCGCTTATTAATTTTATATAATCACATCATAGATCTCCGTTACTGTTTTGCTAACTTGGCAAATAGCAGAAAACATAGGCAGCTTAATGTTTCTTGCACCTGACAAGCAAGCTTGGGAATGTGGGCACCTAAATATAGGATTTTAGGTCCTACAAAAAGTTTGAATGATATGAAGCTCAGGAAAATTAACCTCTTATTGCTCATGAAGCTCTGGAAAATCAACCTCGCTACCTTATCAAAGTAATGAGATCACGAAACTCAAGAGAGTCAACCTCCCTTGTTAAAGGAACGAGTTGATGAAGCTCGAAAGAACCTACTCCCTTTTTAAAGGGCCGAAGCTCGTAATTGTCTCCCGTATTAAAAGGGGTTGAGATCAAAGCGTCCCTTACTATAAGGGTCCGAGCTGAATGAAACTCGTAATTATCGCTCCCATATTAAAAAGGGTCGAAATCAATGTGCCCCGTACTATAAGGGTCCGAGCTAAATGAAGCTCCTAATTATCGTCTCCCGTATCAAAAGTGGTCAAAATCAAAGTACTCCGTACTAAAAGGGCCCGAGTTGAATGAAGCTAGTAATTATCATTCCCTGTATTAAAAGGGGTTGAAATAAAAGCACCCCATACTATAAGGGCCCGAGCTGAATAAAACTTATAATTGTCGTCCCCCGTATTTAAAGGGGTCAAAATCAAAACGCCTTGTACTATAAGGACCCGAGCTAAATGAATCTTGTAATTGTATCCCCTGTATTAAAAGGGGTCGAAATTAAAGCGTCCCGTACTATAAGGACCCGGGCTGAATGAAGCTCGTAATTATTGTCCCCCATATTAAAAGGGGTCGAAATCAAGGCACTCCGTATTATAAGGGCCCGAGATGAATGAAAATCGTAATTATCATCCCCCGTATTAAAAGGGGTCGAAATCAAAACGCCCCGTACTGTAAGGGTCTGAGCTGAATGAAGCTTGTAATTATTGTCTCCCGTATTAAAAGGTTTCAAAATCAAAGTGCCACGTACTATAAGGGTCCCGAGCTGAACAAAACTCGTAATTATCCTTACCTGTATTAAAAGGGGTACGTTCAAAATCAAAGTTTCCCATATCATAAGGGTCCAGGTTAAGTAATTGTCATCCCCAAAGGGATAGGTGGGATGAAACCCGATGACTAGCGGCCTCCTTCGCTCATTAAAGGGGCAAGAGGCCAACAACACCTTTCCCTTGTTAAATGGTTAAGAAGTTCAATCGATATGAAACTTAGAAGGCATAGATAAATTCAAGGAGGTAGATATAACTATTACTATCTTATCTAATGACTCTTCCAATTCGTGATGGGTAAGGAAAAAGAGTCGATTTCATAATTGTAATACCCCTAATTTTTAAAAGGATATTTCTGGTATTTAATTTCTGATTTAATTGTTTTTTTTTATATTTTTATTTGAGTTAATTGTTTTATTGTGGTGATTAAATTGAGTTAATTGTTTAATTGGATTTAATTAATTACTTGGATTAATTACCTGTTTAATTACTAAACTTATTTAATTGTTTTATTTAGTTAATATAATATTTATTTGTTTTCTTTATGGTAATTTAGGGTTACAGTTATAACTTTGGTTTATATTTCACGTATATGTGAGCCGCCGTAGGTTAGAACTGAGATAGTTTTATGGGCCGGTTCGGATTGGAATTAGGCTTAGTCTCTAATTGTACATGGATTAGGGTTAGTATTTACCTATAAATATAAAGCAATACACGGTTTAAGGTTTTAGAAAAATAAACGTAAATTCTGTAAAAGCAGAGACCGTGAGATACAGAGGGAAAACAAAGAGAGATAGGAGAGGAAGGCTAGGTGGGATCAAGGAGGAAGGAACATGGTTTTGTGGAACAGCAGTGGGGAGTTTAACAGACAATTTAGAGAACAGTGGTGTTGAGTTTCAAATCTGAAATTCAAAGGCAAGTCTATGTTCTTCTCTTTCCCTTTAATTCGTGTTATGTGCATGCCTAGTTAGACTCAAGGAATTAAATCAAGGATAAAACGGATTTAAATAAACATTATAACAAGTCTTTTATGCATACATGAATTTTGTTTAGACTCGTTGAAATAACTGTTTTGCATTACCTTTTATGATCTGTTATTTGTTTTCTTCTGTGGTTTACGATTAAGCTTGTTTTAGTTGAGATTAGTAATGCGATTGGATGTCTTATAACTAATCTGGGATTAAGTTTGAACTCAAGGACAAGTATTTAGAACAATATATAAAAAAATTTGCTGAATTAATCTATGGTTAGTTGCTTAAAATTTTTAACGGAGTTTCTGTAGTCTTGTTTCAAAACTCGTGTTCCATACATGTTCTGATTGGATGTTAGTGGTTTAAAATTTATCTAGGGTTAAGATTGAACCTAAAATGAGAATTAAAACACAATACAGAGGCTCTGTTAATTACCGGAGTCGAAGAAGACAAAGGAAAAACGGACAACGGCTGCTTAGGAAGGGAGAGCAGGCTCCCAAAACCCTTAGAGCCGGCTCCCAAAGAGTTGGAGCCGGCTCTAAGTGGTTTTGAGCAGGCTCTAAGTTTTTAAAGAGCCTGCTCTATCCTTATACGTTACAAAATTGATTTTTGGGGCTTGTTTGGGCTACAGAGGGTGTTTCCACTTCGTTTAAATTGTTTTAAGTAATGTATGGGACTGTATAAGATTGGTATTATGATGGAAAAATATAAAATCATAATTGGATTGAAGAATAGTGCAAGAAAAACCTAAGAGAAAACTGGTAACTTGCACACTGTCTTGTTGGTTTTACTTACTGGAACTTGGCACGGTTTTTATATATAATCTAATTATATATAATCATATATTTTTTTAGTGTTATAAGTATGGTGAATTAATTATATTTAACTATACTTAGTTTGGAATTAATTGATACTCAAATTGTTATAATTGTATCGATTTATCGGCTGTTTTGGAGGATTTGAACGCTATGGTTTATTTTAGCAGTTTAAATAATTGGAGCATGATTTTTAGGTTCTGTAGTGAATACCTAATGACATTGTATATGTATTAAACTATACTGACGCATATTTCGGAGAATTGTTGATAAATTCAGTAATGTTATTTTTATCAACTATGTGGATTGGAGGACTGTATGCACTGGTATAGGATGGTGGCATACTAAGGATGGATTAGTAAACACTAAATCCTACCTATTTTGGAATGAGTTGGATTAACTATAAAAAAGTTAAGTCCTACTTATGTAGATGTCTATGCACCGGCATGGGACGGTGGCATAATAGGGACGGCTCAGTTCAAAACACTGAGACCTACCTATATTGGGGATGGATTAGTTCAAACACTAAGTCCTATCTATATTGAAATAAGATAGATTAACTACAAAAGTTAAGTCCTACTTATAACTAGGCGTCAGTTCAATAAACCTTTTGAATGACACACTTGGAACGGACTTTATATATTTATGTTATGATGCCATGGTATGAGCTTGAGTCTCCTGACCATGGTTAGGGTGCGTATATCGCCTAAGATGGATAGCTAGACAGTAGTTGTTGTTCCTTGGTAGGTCTAGGTATACATGACCACGTAATGTGCAATTTGTATGGTATCTCTACTCAGGCTGAGACAGACCTATTGGACTAGTGAGCGTCCTATTGTGTGTATTATATACATATATGGATTACTCTAGCTATTATTGAGTCTATCTAGGATGTATCTACGTATTGGATTCCTGTTTGGATCGTAGTAGATCAGGACTTGCATGTGGGCCTGGCCACTCTTTTATTTTTCAGGTGCTCGTTAGTTCCAGGGTTAGAGTTTGATCATGCAGAGCAGATACAGACTTCTATTCCTCCGATTATGTAGAATTACTTTCTTTATTTAGCTTTGGTCTTGTTTCAGTTCTTTTCTCTTCGGTTTGGGATTTTGTTAGGGGTCCATGAGATGGATTCCCGAGTTGTAAATAAATGGAGGTTTTGGAGTTTTGGTTTTACAATAATAACCTTTGAGGAATTTGTAATTAGATTTCTTTTCAGCTATATTATTTATTATTTTTTTATTTCAGTTTTGTATTCCGTGTTCGTTTTACATATTAATTGTTTGGTATCCCTCGGATCTGTGCTCGGACTTGATCACCCGTGGCTCTAGAATCAAGGGGTATCACAATAACGAGACACTACCTCCATTAATACTTCCATAAAAGAATTAGTTGATGAACTTAAAGAGGTACGCCAAAAATTAAATACAGAGTATTGCTTTGACATTTAATGGCTCAAGTATTAACTTGATCGTCGGAGTACACTCGGCTGGCACTATGCCGGTCGTCACTTTCCTTATATTACAAGAATGGCTCCCGACTCCGCACCGTACTGATTTTTACATCAACAAATCGAATTCTTCACTTAGCAAAGAAAAGAATCATATTATTCTTATCACTCTTTATATGTTAGAATAATTTATCTATCTCAATTTCCTTACCAACACAATTAATCTAGAATTTACTTTTTGTCTTTTAATATTTTATTTTGCTGACATATTATAATTTACAATTATATCTAGTTGCTCAAAATATGAATTATAACAATTATTTAAAACTAATATTTATTTCTTATGGTTAAGAATTATTCAAATGGAAAAGTGTAACTCCTTAGATTTTAATTTTTATTCTTGGAATCTTGTTTGTTAGAAGGACAATACACCTGACATCATAAATATATAAAATTTCAAATTTTCAAACAAATTACTAACTAATTATTTGTAAAAAGATAATTTTTTTGATAGTTTTTATAAAGAATTTTAACTAATATTATAAATTAACTTTTGAGTTTTGACCACATGCGCAAGTGTCTTTTCTAAGTACATATATCTGTTTGTAAAATGATAGAAATATTACATAACAAAAGTTTAGACTTTTCTGTTTAAAAAAATGTGGGGACAAAGGCTAACATCTCTACGACATACGGATGTTAGCTTTCCCTTATATAGAAATTATAAAATATCTTTTTTCTTTTGCACACATCAGCAATCTTATAATATATGAAAATTAAGGAATTTAATTTACTCATTCATAGCTCAAGTATATACTCATTCATAGCTCAATCTTATAATATATGGAAATTAAGAAACTTAATTTACTCATTCATAGCTCAAGTATATTCTCCAATTAATTGTCACCCTCGAAACGAAAATTAAGGCCAAAAGTACTTGTTGTCACGTAACTACAAATATAGCAATTAAATTGCCATACACGTTGATAGATGCATGAGAATACATGCACGAGAAGTGGATTGTTATTAAGTTATGCAAAAGCCAAATACATTAATATTGTACATGCTTGCAAAAAAAAAAAAAAAAAAAATAGCCAAACTTATTTTATGTGGCTGGCTTATCTAATTTAATTAGCAGGTTCTTCAGGAGCTACATCCTCGTCAGGATCATCGGGGTAGATAACCAACTCCTCGAGCGCTTTAGGGCACTCGGCATCGGGATCCTTCTTCATGAAGCCGATATAGTTGGCATAGCGAATGTCATTAGACATGCCATTGTCTGTGAGGGTGACCGGGGCTGTTTCATCCATGGCTTCACCGCAGGTGTCAGGTTGGGGGCTCGTCGCCACCTTCACCTCACAAACCTCGTCACCGTGATCTCCTTCTGCCTTTAGACTATAGCTTCCATCTTTGCTAGATTTTCCGTTAATGGAGTATGTCACGTTTCCAGTCTCCTCATTTTTGCATAGCAGGACCACATCTTCACCTGCACATGCACAATTGAGGGAACAAATACTTTAATATTCTTGAAGTATTGAATGACATGATATTACCAACTACTAATTAAAGTAATAATAAAAATAAATATATTTTGAACATTACTATTTCGGCTCAAGTCTTCCCTCAAATACTTTGCCTCTGTGAGATGGCCCCTCTATAGAAATGCGAAGTGTGAACTCTTCTGCCTAAATATCAATTTCCATACCCCAGTATCACTTGTGCAAAAATTCCGTGCATTAACATTTTTTTCGGTATGTTTGCATTAACTTGTTATGTATTGCACTAGTATTTTTTTCTATATTCATTGCACGCACTCATTGAATAATAATAGTATTACTATATATATATATATATATATATATATATATATATATATGTGGGTAAAGTGCAAAAAAATCTTCCTGAATTATCGACTTTTTGCAACTAACCTCCCTGAACTTAAGATTGTCCCCATAAACTATTAATTTGTTGTAATTAAGGACAAACTCATCACAAAAGACTATTTTACCCTTTCTTATTGAATTTGTCATTTCTTATTAAATTAATTTTTTTTATATTTTCTCTTATTTAAACAATAATTATACCATTTACCTTAATTTTATAATTAGTATAATTGATTATAAAAATGGAAAAAAAATAAATAGATTTGTAACTATCATTTTCTAAAATGATTAACTTGTTATAATAAAACTTATTATACTCACTTTTTAAAAAAAAAAATTAGTATAAACAAAATATCTTCTTTTTCAAACAATTTTAATGAAAAATGAATAAATTACGTAAATAAAAAATATATTCTTTTTAATACAATATATTCATGAAAATTAAGAAATTACTTAAATTGTTTCAAAATTTTCTATTTAATATTTTTATTTAAATAATTAGTTTAAAAAATTAAAAGCAAACTTATGCAAATTTAATGGAAAATATTTCATCAAATTAGTATGAATGTTTTTCATAATTTATTTCAACAAAAAAAATATATTAAGTATAATTTAATAAGAAAGGATATTATGGTCATTTAAGGAAAAATAGGTAAGACAATGGGACATTTTGTAACTAAAAGTAATAGTTTAGGGGTTTTATGCACAAAACATAATTCAGGGAGTTATTTACAAATTTAAACATAATTGATGGAATTTTTTTACAATTTACCCTCTCTATGTCTATATATATATATATAAAAGTTTCGTGTTCATAATTTTACTAAAAGAGGAAGAATTTTTTGTTTGGAAGGTAAACGACAAAAAAATTACCGACCAAAGCATATATAAGATGAAATGATTAAAAATGATTTCAAAACATTAGTTTTAAATTAAGAAGACATGATCGACTCCATCCATATGAAACAAATACAAGGACGGTGATCATGGTGAATTTGATGGTTTTAATTACCTTCGAGGAATTGACTCAACTTGGTGACGAATTGGACGCGGCATGGGTCACAGTAAACCTTGCCTTCGACGGTGAACTTGCTATCTTTTTTCTTGCCAGCGGCATGGGCAAATCCAGACAGGGCCAAGAGGCAGAAGGCAGAGGTGATGAGTGCTACAGCCTTAGCCATTTTGTCTTCTCTTGGTGTGTATTGGAATCGGAGGGTATCAAAATGCCTTGAATAGAATGAAGAAGTGAGAGAGAAAGAAAGAAAGAGAGGTTGAACATTTATTTTTGAATGGTAATTTTAGTACTACAGGGCAGAGCTTTGTTACGACAGACTTTCAGCGATTATACTGGTATATGCTTTAAACAACCTTCCAACCTCCTTCGTTACACTTGAGGATTGATTATGGCGAATTAAGCTTGTTATTCTAAATTTTAACGAGTTAAATAATCACATTCATTTATATATGAATTTTTATTATTAACCCACACACTAGTATAATCAAAATCAAGTAAAAGTCCCAAAATTTCCCCCAAAATAAAAAATTCCAAAGTGGTCTAATTGAAAATCGGGTTCGATCAAATCCTAGCCCCCGTTGTGCTCGTAAATGTTGCCTTTAACGACAGAGTTTAAATCCTAAGGGAAAATGATCAAATAGAGGTTTGATTAATGAAATATATATATATATATATGTATAGAGAGAGAGAGAGAGAGAGAGAGAGCGCGCCACGATTTGGATAAGAAAAGAATGGAAAATATCTAATATATGTGGTCGTATGTACAAGGCTTAGTCAACGCAAGTCCCCCCTTGACCCAAGAAACGTCTAAAATGTCCCCGGTATTCAATTACACCATATAACATACTACAACGATGAAATAGGACACCCAATCACATAAATACACTTCAAATAATGATATATGAAATGAAATTATCCCGTAAAGTAATCCTAGTGCAAAAAATTCAGGTGCGGGACTCACCGGAACCTCTTAGTCCAAAAATCTAAAAAAGTCAAAATGATTCCAATTACATTTATAACAATTCTAAACTTAAAGAAACATCTCAAACTACTCTCAAAATTTACATGGCACACTAAGCTGTGCTTGACACTCAAAATGAGGCGTAAAAATAAATAAATTTAAAAAATAAAAAATAAAAATGAAAAAAATGAGAAACATTACATGTGATATCAGGTTCGGGTAAGGACCCGGTTAGCGATCCGAATCTCCGATTTTGGGTTGTTACAAAATCAAAGTGCCTCGTATTATAAGGGTTCGAGTTGAATGAAGCTCGTAATTATTGTTTCCCTATTAAAAGGGGTTGAAATCAATGCGTCCCGTACTATAAGGGCCCTAGCTGAATTAAGCTCGTAATTATCTTCCCCAGTATCAAAAGGGGTTGAAATCAAAGCGCTCCATACTATATGGGCCCGAGTTGAAGGAAGCTCGCAATTATTGTCTCACGTATTAAAAGGGGTTGAAATCAAAGCACCTTATACTATAAGGGCCGAGTTAAATAAAGCTCGTAATTGTTGTTCCCCATAATTAAAGGGGTCAAAATCAAAGCGCCCCGTACTATGTGGGCTTGAGAGCTGAATGAAACTTGTAATTGTTTTCCTCCATATTAAAAAAGGTCAATATCAAAGTGCCCCGTACAATAAGGGTCCGAGCTGAATGAAACTCGTAATTATCGTCCGTCGTATTAAAAAGGTCAAAATTAAAGTGCCCCGTACTATAAGGGTCAGAGCTGAATGAAGTTCGTAATTATTGTCCTCCCGTATTAAAAGGGGTCGAAATGAAAGCACCCCGTACTATAAGAGCCCGAGCTGAATGAAGCTCGCAATTATTGTTCTCCGTATTAAAAAAGGTCAAAATCAAAGCGTCCCATACTATAAGGGTCCTGTGTTGAATAAAGCTCGCAATTATCATTATTTTTATTAAAGAGGGTCAAAATCAAAATTCTCTGTATTATAAGGGTCCGAGTTAAGTAATTGTCATCCCCAAAGGAATAGGTGGGACGAAACCCGATGACTCCCGCCTCCTTCCCTCATTAAAGAGGCAAGAGGCTAACTACACCCTTCCCTTATTAAAGGAATGAGCTTAGCAACACAGCTTAACAATAAAGCCCGACAAAAACTTTTAAAAAGGAAATGGTTCCAAACCTAACGTCATATTGGACGTATTATCCAAATATTGTACATTGCCAAGAGGCAAAATTCTCTGTATTCAATACAGATAAGTAAAATTACCCATCACATTGTATTTGCAGTACTTCAATGCCTTTATTAATATCTACACATGCAATAGTATCATGCATATATTTATTTAGGTCATTAGGCCTCTAGCATGGGTATCGTATTAAGACACAAAAAAAAATAATAATAAATAAAAAATAAAATAAATTTGATCATACGCATATTTGTACGAGTTTCAGCTAGGTAAGTGCCCACTGCATCATGCTGGGTCAATACCCCAAAGGCAAATGCCCAGCTGCATGGAGTGTCAATCTATTATTCTTTGATAAAAATAGAGTTTTTGAGTGGGAAGGGTCAGGAACTCCCGCTTACTAAATTATTGCTCTAAGCAACTGAACCAAAACTCTTACGTTTGACTTAGTAATTGTATAAAAGTCTTCTGTTGTGAGCATGACAATTTCGGTGTGTCTACATGTGTCTCTATATACACATGGGTTTATGTATTAATTTCGACATTACATTTCCCTTGATGTGTTTGGATTACTTTATGATTTTTTGCGTTGGAAAATACTTGTCCTAATACGACTACTGGACTAAATTTTTGAACTCTTATATATATATATATATATATATATATATATATATATATTTATGAACTTTTATTAGCAAAGAAAAAAAAAAAGTAAAGAAGTATAATATATATCTATATCTATTTCTATATCTATATTATTATTAAATGTGCAAAGTATTTCAGTGTTTCAGTATTTCAGTATTTAATATAAAAAAAGAATTTTTATAAACAAAAAATTACCTAAAAATTATTTAAAAAGTTTAACTCAAATTACAAATTACCTAATAAAATTTATAAAAATTAAGTTAAAGAGTTTAATTAAAATTACAAATTACCTAATAAAATTCATATTTCTTGTCCCACATTGGTTTTAAGTAAAAAGGAATACATGGAAACCTCTTATAAAACTATAGACTTACAGAAATAATAATCACACCTTTTTCGACCTTTTGGCTAAGAACAAGTGTAGTACTAAATTTTTTTGGGTCGGCCTTCTGGCTAACCTTTCTTGGTCTTTTGCCTAAGATCAAGTGTAGTACTACTTTCTCGGCCTTTTGGCTTTCAATATTTATTTATTAATATACAAAAAGAGTTTTTATAATCAAAAAATTACCTAAAAATTATTTAAAAAATTTAATTCAAATTACAAATTACTTAATAAAATTTATAAAAATTAATTTAAAGAGTTTAAAGTATTTCAGTATTTATTTATTAATATAAAAAAAAGAGTGTTTATGAACAAAAAATTATCTAAAAATTATTTAAAGAGTTTAATTCAAATTACAAATTACCAAATAAAATTTATAAAAATTAATTTAAAGAGTTTAATTCAAATTACAAATTACCTAATAAAATTCATTTTTTTTGTTCCACATTAGTTTTAAGTAAAAAGGATTACATAAAAACCTCTTATAAAAACTATAGACCTACAAAAATAATAATCACATATTTTTTGGCCCTTTGGCTAAGATCAAGTGTAGTACTAAATTTTTTTGGATCGGCCTTTTGGCTAACCTTTCTTAGTCTTTTGCCTAAAATCAAATGTAGTACTATTATCTCGACCTTTTGGCTTTCAGTATTTATTTATTAATATAAAAAAAGAGTTTTTATAAACAAAAATTTACTTAAAAATTATTTAAAGAGTTTAATTCAAATTACAAATTACCTAAAAAAATTTCATTTTTCTTATCCCACATTGGTTTTAAGTAAAAAGGATTATAATGAGCGCTGAAAAGTGCGCATTTAAACCCCTTGAGCTCAAGTATTCTAGAACCTTTATCTATCTTACTTTCCCGTTTTAGACTAATTTCATGTTATTATCCTTTTCAGGTGCTTACCCCCAAATAAGTCAATTCAGCCAAATTAGAGCATAAAAGAAGCAATCTCAAGCTGAATGGAAGAATGGAGCAAAGTGGTGGAAATCAGCAAACTTTGATCGATCTCATATTGATCGATCTCACCTCACCAAGATGAATCAGATCCCTTGTCCTTATCCTCAAAGAATTTCAATCTTCGATCTATCTAACTTTCTTCAGATCGATCGAACTTCCTAGATCTTATCCCCACCTACCACTTTTGTCTTTTTCCCAAAATATCCCAAAAACATCTCAGATTTGTCTTATTCTAAAAAGGCGCCGCCAAGGATTGATCAATCTGGCCTAAATTCGATGGATCTAGCCACAGTTCGATTGATCTCATCTAAATTCGATCCATCGAACCTCCTCAAGTTCGAATTAAAACAGAGTCCAGCTCATTAAAAGATGGCTCATCGTGCAATCATTGAAGGGACCCTAGTGCGTGAGACCTGACCATTAGGTGTCACACTTGAGCTACCTATAAAAGGATTTTGAGCCATTTTTACATCATAATCTTAATATCATCATATCTTGAGAGAACATAACTTAGAATCACATATCTTGGAGAGGAGACTAAAGCTTAGAGAGACATATACTATTTTAGGAGTTCTTCCATTCTTCTAGGATTTCCATCAAGAAGAAGAACATTTCTACCATGGAGATGGCCCTTGAGGGTTGGATGATTACATCAATGAGTGGCTAAATATCTTCTTGGGGCTAGAGTTAGCCCTAAGCATACCTTCTAGACCTTAATGCTTTGTATTTTGAGGGAATTTGTGTTGTAATGTTGTCTTGACACTTGATTTATATATGAATCTTGTTCTTACAATGATTTGTGTTGATCAATACTTCCAATTGATCATTTCATTATATTCATATATCTATGTATGCTAGAGTAGATGTTCATGTGTTTATCTCTTGGTTTTTGTGATATTGATGCATGTCTATGTATATTGATGCTATGAATCTAGAGATTGTCAAGGCATAGTGCTTAAATAGAATACTCTTATGGTTTATTTGATGGTTTATACTCATTTCTTGATGGATTGTGCCTCTACCTTAGTT